TTGACAAATAATTGTTTGGGAAGAATTAGGACAAAAGCATTATTTTGTTGCACTTATCAGTTCTCTTATATATTTGCAATTTTATGATTCCTTGGTATCATATAATTTCCTTTCTGTTTTAAAACATGATGGTGTAAAGAGATAAGGGCAAAGTAAGAAAAGAGGAGACACAATCCCTAATGGATATATTTCTGTTGTCACTAGAGTAAAATACTTCTCCAATGCCCCACAAATGCTGAGTATAGTTTTATGCTCCTTAATTTTAGCATATACAAATAGCATAAATCAAACATTGGATATCTACTCCCTTCAAACTTGTAAAATTAAAATAGGGATATATAATGAATATTTTATCACCCTTAGTTTAATATTCTTCAAAATAACTCCAGAAGAGTCAGATGAGCTTTTTCAAGTGGAACCTAAGCAGCCGTAGGATACTAGGTCTGCTTAATTCCACGAGCTAAGTTTTAGATACTTTAACAGTAACGGCCAGAAAACATCAGTGTGACTACTCAGAGGTGATTAAGAAAGCTGTGCATCAATTAGAAAGGTAAATCTGCGTGCCAGTTGGCAGTAGTTAGGCCGACAGAGGCAGTGTGTTCTCAATTACTCCAAGGTCCAATGATTATGGGATCCTTCACTGTAAGCAGAAACGCAGATTTAAAAACACACCCTAACATATCCATCTTTCTTATGGGCAAGTGACTCCTGCCCGAGTTCAGGGAACATTTCACAACCACTTAAAACCACTACACTTCACTACAGAATAAAAATGACCCTCCTACCTTAGGAAGATCAGTTTAAGTATCTCTTTTCAGACTTATAGAGGCAAGTTTCTCAAAGTGTAAATGTCTAATGATAAGTACTTTCTAATAGAGTCATTATTTGGTCAACTTTGCTCATCTCTGAGATAATATGACATTTACATAGCTAATAACCCTTTCAATGTGCATTGATGTTTCCATTAAATTCAATGACCTTAGTCAGCGAATGAAGGAAGTCAGAATCTTTGGGAAAAGGTTTACAACTTCTTGCAACTCCTCCTCCTATTCCATGTTCCGTGAATTAGCAGTTACATGTAATTAGAGGCATCTCCTTATAAGGCAGCTTATTGCCCATGCAAACAGTTGGAGACATCGCCCTCCAATAAATATATATATATATATATATATATATATATATATATATATATATATATCTGGCACACCCCTCCTCCATACCATTGTGTGTGTGTGTGTGTGTGTGTGTGTGTGTGTGTCTATTTTTGTTGATTTCAGAGAGGAAGGGAGAGGGAGAAAGAGAGAGAAACATCAATAATAACAAAGAATCATTGGTTGGCTGCCTCTTGCACTCCTCCCACTGGGAATGGAGCTTGCAACCCAGGCATGTGGCCTTGACCAGAATCGAACCTGGGACCCTTCAGTCAGCAGGCTGACACTCTAGCCACTGAGCAAAACCAGCTAGGGCCTCCATACCATTTTCCAAACACCAAATGTTTCCGTTTGGATGGACCTTATATAAAAATTGAAATTCAATTGACATTATTCTCCCTTCCTTCCTTCCTTCCTTCCTTCCTCCCTCCCTCCCTCCCTCCCTCCCTTCCTTCCTTCCTTCCTTCCTTCCTTCCTTCCTTCTTCCTTTTCAGAGAGTTTTATCAGTATTTAAGTTTTTTGACTTTCTAAAGGTGTAGTACCCCACTTATCTTAGGTAATTGAGAAATCACCATGACATAAATGCTGAAATATCTTGTCATTATTTTCAACTTACAAATCCAGTGTGTTCTACAGATTGGTAATTTAAAATGCATTCTTTATTTTAAAATGCTTCTTAATAATGGTTGAGTTTTGCAATTAGATCACAAAGTCAATGCCAATTAGTATGCTTCCAGAATTATTTTTAGTAATATTAGCATGAGCCTTAGTTCCTGGGAAGAGAGAGGAAGAATCTTTATTTTTTTTTCTTTTCCTATCCTTTTGCAATAGCGAATTAGGCAAGGTGTATTTTTCCACCTCCCTACCTTTTATGAACCAATTTCCCAAATCCTAGTGCTCTATTCCTATAATTATGTGCCCATAGCTTTCCTAATGTCTTCTCCCTTCCCTGTTCGAAGGACAACACACAAAGTCTAGGATAAACCCCAAATGCTTCATGAGCAAAGATCAGTCACCTCATCTCTCCAAATTCAAAAATCCATGCCTAGGTTATTTATTCTAGAACTATATGTCATTTTTAAAAGATGCTCAGGTTTATTAGTCCAAATTAATCTCTAAATTCTGTCTTTGAACAATGGTCCTGGAAGCCTGCTCTAGGGTATCAAAATTTGTATACTTTGACTTTGATGGTGTCTTTCATTTTTCACAAACTCCGGAGTAAGTTTTTGTTTGTCTTCATGAAAGCTTTATCATCAGCAGTAAAGAACTAGAGAAAAATTGCTAAAGTAAGCATTCATCAATCGGGGATGTAATTTTTCCTCATCAAGAAAATATTTACTCAATTGATGGATAGTACAGACTTTTTAAAAGCTCTCCACTCATGGTCAAATTAATAACTATATGTGTAAATTAAGAAATTTTATTTCATACTTTTATTTTGAAATGTTTATAAAGTCATTTAAAGTTGTTGGAAAACAGATGCACAATGATGATTAGATGGATTGTTATATGAGACACCAGTCTTAAGACCAGAGCAACACACAAAAAAGAGAGTTGTAAAATGTTACACTATATTTTAATATACTTCTAAACCAGCATTTTAAAGACAAGCAATAAACCAATTATAACTCTTAAGAATTGCTGTTAATATACTTCTCTTTAAGACTAGCCAGTCAAATTCACTTTTCAACAACACATTGAAAAGCATTTGAAGAAAATACAGTTTGCTCTAATTAAAACATGAAATTATTTTTCTTCCTTGAGCATTTTCATGTCCATGTGATACAGGTAGCCTCTGTAGCTCAAGTCCATTTCCCAAGAAAAGCTTATGCTAGATTTGCAGATGTGCATCAAGAAAAGTGCTGAGGCTTGAGACGAACTCTCACTGCCTAAAAGACAGCATAGATCCAGAGACACAGAAGCATGGAACAGACTGTGGAATCTCAGCGGGAAGGCAGGGGTGGGTGGGTGGGTAGGAAGAGATTAACCAAAGAACTTATATGTACACTAGAGGCCCAGTGCACAAAATTCATGCACGGGTGGGGTCCCTAGGCCTGGCCAGCGATCAGGGCCAAGGAGGTGAGTCGCCTGGTTGGGCCCGGAAGGAACGGATGCTGGATGCCGATGCTGCCATCATCAGCACCCTGCCACTGAGCGGTCCCTTGCCTGGCCCCCTCCTCCCTTCCTTCACCTCCGTGCTGCCACTGTGGCGGGGGGGCACCAGGCTGATTAGGGCTGCTGGCAGGGAGGAGGTATGGGGCACAGGAGGTTGGCCACCAGCCCCAAGGAGGGAGCCGGCCCTTGGCCCCCCTGGGAAAGGGGCCACTTCCCCCCCCACCCACCCTGGGGCCTCCCCCTGATCCGGTGATTGGGCCCTGCTGGTGGGGGGGGGGGGGCGGGTAGGGACCACAGGAGGTTGGCCAGCCAGGGGGAGGTTGGCTATGGGAGTGCACTGGCCACCAGGGGGAAGATCCTGTGTTGAGCATCTGCCCCCTGGTGGTCAGTGCATGTCATAGCAACAGTTGTTCTGGTCATTCTGGTTGTTCCAGTCACTTAGGCTTTTATATATGTACTAAATTTGTGCACTCGGGGGGGGGGTGTCCCCCAGCCCAGCCTGTGCCCTCTCGCAGTCTGGGACCCCTCGGGAGATAACGACCTGCTGGCTTAGGCCTGCTTCTGGGTGGCAGAGGGCAGGCCCAATCCCTAAGTGCAGCCCCTGGTCAGGCTCAGAGCAGGGCCGATTGGGGAGTTGGGGCACCGCCCCATCATGCACAGAGCAGGACGGATCGGGAGGTTGCGATGCTACCCTCAGTCACGCTCAGGGTAGGGCCGATTGGGGGGTTGGGGCACCGCCCCCTGTCACACTCAAGGCAGGGTCGATGGGGAGGTTGTGGCGCCACCCCCTGTCACGTACAGAGCAGGGCCGACCAGGGGGTTTGGGCGCTGCCCCCTGTCACGCTGATCCCGGTGCTGGGAGGCATATTACCCTTTTACTATATAGGATAGAGGCCTGGTGCACGGGTGGGGGCTGGCTGGTTTGCCCTGAAAGGTGTCCTGGATCAGGGTGGGGGTCCCCACTGGGGTGCCTGGCCAGTCTGGGTGAGGGGCTGAGGGCTGTTTTCCGGAAGCGAGTGACTGAAGCTCCCAACCGCTCCTTGTTTTCTTTTTTTTATTTTTTATTCTGGGCCAGCTTTAGCTCTGAGGCCTTGCTGCTGAACACATCGATACAATGTTGCGGTCTGGCTGGCTTTCAGTCCGGCTGGTTTCTGGGGTTTTGTTTAGCTTCTTATTTGCAACATAGTACATAGTTGCTTAGAGTTGCAGCTGAGAGGCCGGCAAGTGAGGCGGGGAATGTTGGAGTCTGCAGTCACTGAAGCAAGCAAGCCTCCCTGCTCGCTTCAGTGCATGGCTGCCGGCCGCCATCTTGGTTGTCAGTTAATTTGCATATACTCACTGATTAGCCAATGAAAAGGGTAGCGGTCGTACGCTAATTACCATGTTTCTCTTTTATTAGTGTAGATATATGCATAACCCATAGACACAGACAAGAGTATGGTGAAGGCTTGGGTTCAGGTGTGGGCTAGGAAAGGTTAATGGGGGAATAAAGAGGAGATCTGCAATACTTTCAACAATACGTATTTTAGAGAGAGAAAGAGAGAGAGAGAGAGAAAGGGCACATAAATGCTGGATCCTGTCATCAGGTGAGAACTCAGAGCTTCATCTTCAAAAAAGAACTGTGATAGCAGAGAATCTTTTGCAAACCTTCATAAAAGACTCAACTCCCCTTACAAAGGCATCAAAAATGATTTATATACTAAAACACTTAAGATATGAATCTGAGGCACTTACTTGTGCTGATATGATCAGACTTGCTGCTCTTTGGGGCTTGCCTCTCACATTGTGTGCCTGACCAGTTGGTGGAGCATCTAGAAATATTAAAAAAAAAATCAGTGAATAACAACCTACAAGTCTGCTAATTTAGTAACTTCAACCAAATGGAATGGAGGAGCCAGCCATCACAGATTAATGGATATTAGGGAGAGATATCTGCTAATTTCCTGTATATTGTCAGTATGCTGAAGGTAACTTCAGTTGGATTTCACCAGTTTAAATACTTTATAAAGTTTAGTTTTATAGCCATTTTCTTTATTTTATGCTAACCTAAAAATGGTCATATTTTATAGCAAAATGGAAATCTTAATTAAAATTTGGGAATTAATTTGAGAAATACTGAAAATTATAAGTAGCCAATATAAAAATTGAGCTTGCCTGTCAAATAAATCCTCCTTTATTAAATTTCTGTGATTGAAAAAGGTTTTTTTTTTTTTTCTGGTTGTTCTGAGTCCAAAGTGGAACTAGCTATCACTGAAGCTGCAGAATGTTTACTCTCTTAAGCAGATATAGGAAAATAGAGTGTTTTCTCATTTAAAAATCATACTTCTATGACTATCATACTTCTATTACAATATAAAGAATGTGCCCATGTTTTTATTGTCTTCCTTACATAGGCATCCTGACACTATGATGAGAAGTCTAGCAGAGAATTAAAATAATATATAGGATTAAAATCCATTATTTAAACATAAATCATGACCATATAATTAGCTGGTTACATCAAATAAATTCTAGAGTGGTTTCAGTTATTTTGAACAATGCTTGTTGGCTAAGATGCACAAGATGCCTCCCTGTATTTGTCAGCGGAAATTCACAGAGCAACCATTTAATGGGCTTCAGTTCTTATTTAAAATGACAGTAAAAAAACACCATATCAACAATTGTTGCACACAGTAAAAGAACATCTAGAATCATTCCAAGAATATCTTTCTGGTCATAATGGCCAATCTAAATAACTGCAATTTCAAGTTCTCTGCCAGTTCTGTCATAGCCAATTTAGATAGCTGAAGCTATTTTCAGAACGAGGCTTTGGTGATGTCATGTTCATTGTTTGGGATATTCAAGAAGACAATACTGGCTGCTCGAATACAAGGACAATATTTCATAAAATCATTATTGCCGATAAACTCAAATCATGAAAATTAAAATTTGTTTCATAAATGCATATATTAACTTTAGCATAATTATTAATAGTAATACTATTAAACATAGTTATTTGATGAATAATTATATTGTCAAACTATGAATATGGAGCATGATTTAAATGGAAGTTAATATCACTATATTATGGTTAGGCTATCGCGTACATTATCCTAACTTTTTTGTTCAATATTTTTATAAAAAGCTTATACATATATATTTTTTCCTACAAATCACATTTATTATATACCATACTATAAGTCAATCATTAAAGTAGGTAAATAAATTTTAAGGCCACGCTTATGACGTTGTCCATATTACTAAAGTGAGGCAATGGAATGAGCACATTTTTCAAGGAATTATAATAAAGTGGACACAATAAAAATATAATATTTTAAAAAGTCACTTTTCTTTCTCAGTTGTGGTTTTTCAGATGAATGATTGAGAAATTTGTTCCAGTTCTTCACAGTTTTAAATGCTTGACATAGTCCACAGATAATTTACAATAAGATGTTTAGTAAGACTTTGCAAATATGTTGTTGGAGTGAATTCTGATCATTGAAAAATTCTTTTTGCTTTATATTTGTCAAATCTTCCTAACGGACCACTGAGAAAGTTTTAAAGCTCTGATTAAAAGAATAATGCTGATTGCTTTAGTAATTGTATTATATTGCTGATGTTGTATAAGGCTATTTTTGTGCAATTATATTGAACTAGAGGCCTGATGTACGAAATTCGTGTAAGGGGCTCGCCCCCTGCCACAGCATTAGCTGCCTCATCTGCCTTGGCCCCCGCCCACCACATGACCGCCTCGGCCCTCACAGCCCCAGCTTCATCAGGAAGATCGTCCGGTCTAATTAGTATATTATCCTTTTATTATTATAGATTACTGATTAAAATGCCAAAAATTGCTCTTTATACTACCTTCTTTAATTAAAAGAAAAAAACCTAAAGCAGGGTTCATGTTAAATAAGAGGAATGACTTAAGATAAACTATGTTACTAGATAAAAAGAACTCCTGGGGGCTCATCATTACTCTAAGATGCTTGAAAGTCAGAAAATGAAAATGCTCAGAAATTGGAAGATTAGATGCTAATTGACCAGATTCTGTTCTGATATAAACATCATGCATTTTAAGTACTTTTGCAAGTCATAAAGTATGTGCCACTGGAACTTTAAAAGAGCAGAGATATTTTTAAACAAAAACGATAAAGATAGTATGATTCTTATTCCAAATTTATGGATTATGTTAACAATGTTGATTGATTTCTTATTTTACCCATAGCTTAGACCCAGAACTGTATTCATAAGAGATAAAAGCAAGAACCTGTTAGTAGTCATAATGCTCCTATCTTTCAAATGGAGGTACATTTAAATTCCCTAAACTGCAGGAAATATTTTATTTATTCATACTGGAAATAACTCTGAAAGATTGTGCTGAAAAATAATTAACAGTTATACATTTTAATCAGTTGGTGATCACCTTGTAAGGTTCTCCATACTCCTTATTAAATAACTAAGGCCTGGTGCATGAAATTCATGCGCTAGGTGGGGGAGGGGGTCCCTCAGCCTGGCCTGCACCTTCTCCCAGTCCGGGAGCCTTCAGGGGATGTCCGACTGCTGCGGAGGTGGGACAGGCTCCTGCCACCACTGCTGCATTCAGCAGCCGTGAGCCCATCTTCTGGTTGAGCAGTGCTCCCCCTATGGGAGTGCACCAACCACCAGGGGGCAGCTCCTGCATTGAGCACCTGCCCCTTGGTGGTCAGTGCACGTCACAGCGAATGGTCGTTCCACCATTCTGTCGATTTCCATATTAGCCTTTTATTATATAGGATTATATAGGATGCTTTATGGCCAAAGATAAAATAAGATACATTACACTGTTCTACATTTGTTCCAGTATTAAAAAAAAAATCCTTTGAGATATTAAATCAAATAGATACCATTATTCCTGTTGCCTGCTTTACAAAATTAAAACTCCTTTGAGATATTAAATCAAATAGATACCATTATTTCTGTTGCCTGCTTTACAAAATTCCTAGTTAAGACATTTGTTGCTCCACAAATTCTCCCAATGGTTGATTTAAGACCAAGTATTTTTTATCATTTTTACAAAAATGCATATGTCTTCACACTCTGAGTAGACTGCAATGACCAAAGACATTAATGGCAAAGCATTTAAGAATTGGAATGTGTGCAGATCATCAAAATGTGTCCAAATCCCCCACTGAATTATTTGCATAATCATGCCGACTATAATACTTCTGACATCTGTCTCTTTTTACTTATTCCTCAAGCAAAATTCCTCCACGCCTTGGTCATCTTTAATCTGTGCTGCTCCCTGCTATTCATCCTAGGACTGTTATCTTCAAGTTAGTCCTGCATGGCCCTTCTAAGAAACCACTTTTTTTTCCTCACCATCATTAACACCTGTCTATTGTTTATTTTAAACTTTTTCTACAGTTGTTTTCCACCTTGAGTCAATGAAAAATCACTTCTTTTTATGTGTTGGTCACCAAACCACTCTGAGTTATTTAACTTTTTAAATACTTTCATGAGTTTTAACTAAGTATTGTTAGATTAGGGAAATAGAGATAAATTGATAGATTCTTATTCTAATTACCTAAACAATTATTTATTATTCTTTCTTCTAATCATCAAATGAAAATATTTCTCCTAGCAGTTTCCTGAAGTCAATAGCTGTCTGATTTAACATTCTTTTTGACTTTTTCTCTTTTCTCCTAGGCCAGTGGTTGGCAAACTCAGTCAACAGAACCAAATATCAACAGTACAACTATTGAAATTTCTTTTGAGAGCCGAATTTTTTAAACTTAAACTATATAGGTAGGTACATTGTTATTAACTTAATTAGGGTACTCCTAAGGCTTAGGAAGAGCCGCACTCAAGGGGCCAAAGAGCCGCATGTGGCTCGCGAGCCGCAGTTTGCCGACCACTGTAGGACCTAGGCCATTTGACATTTTTTTTAAAAGGTTGTTTCCTGTTACATTATGTTCTTAACTATATTCTTCCACTCCATTGTAGTTATATGTATAAAATATTCTTAATTATATTTTATGGTATTTTATTTATTTTCTAGATTAGACTAATGATTAACAAAATGGAAAAAAAATTGTTAAAATTCAAATTCTGGAACCCCATATACATAAATTTTCATTTAACACATTGGAGTTGTGGCCAGAAATATGCATTTTAACAGTGACTCTAATGCAAGCAATTCACAAATCACACTTCAAGAATTATATCCCCACAGACATTGTCCTTATACCAAATATTATTCAATCATTAAAAAAAAATTAGGACGGGAATAACGATATGCATATCTAGCATGATTGTGCGAAAGAGTAAATAACATCAGTAGAAGTTCTTTACATACTACCTAAAAAACTGAGTAGGTTTTTATTTTAGGTAACCAATTCTCATCTGAATGTTACTATATGAATTGTATTGTTAGGTAATTTATTATGTCATTTTTTAATATATTTTTTATTGATTTTTTACAGAGAGAAAGGGAGAGGGATAGAGAGTTAGAAACATCGATGAGAGAGAAACATCCATCAGCTGCCTCCTGTACACCCCCTACCGGGGATGTGCCTGCAACCAAGGTACATGTCCTTGGCTGGAATCGAACCTGGGATCATTCAGTCCGCAGGCCGACGCTCTATCCACTGAGCCAAACTGGTTAGGGCTATTATGTCATTTTTAAAAGCTGTTTTTATTGATTTCGGAGAGGGGAAGAGAGAGGGAGAGATAGGAACGTTGATGAGAGAGAAACATGGGATCAGCTGCCTCCTGCAAGCCCCCTACTTGGGATCGAGCCCTCAACCTGGGCATGTGCCCTGACCAGGAATTCTGAAAACTCCTGGTGCCTGGA